GTGGTCCCTGACTGCGCGCAGAGAGTCAGGGAGGCGGGTGACGATGTGGTAGAGAGTGATCCAGAGCGGGGGGGGGGTTGCTAGTGAGAAACTCGGCAGGCATAGCAGCGCGAAAGCGGGCCTCACTAGTCTTAAGGTGGGTGATGAGGTCTGCGACAGTGTGAAAGGAGGCTAGGTCGGGGAACAGGTAGGGGAGAGTGAGGCGGCCTAGCGTGGCAGAAGCGGGTGAGGAGTAGCGGGCAACTACAGCGGTGTAGAGGTCCTTAGCAGTCTTGCACTGGCCGAAGTGCTCGCGCTCGTCTAGCGGCAGGGAGTTGCGAATAGCAAAGCGAGCGTGCGCATCACGGGTCTGCCACTGGGAACGCAGAGTGCTGTCAGCAGACGAGTCAGGGGCAGTGGCATGGCCTAGGGCATGGTCGTACAGTGAGATATCTTCCTTGGCAGTGAGCTGTAGGAACAGGTGCAGGTCATCGAGCCAGGTTTCGAACTTCACTGGACGGCCCTCGGCATCGAAAGCTAGAACTGGCGGACTAGCCATAGTGACAGTAGCAGTAGTAGTAGTGGCAGTAGTAACAGTAGTAGTAGGAAGCGTGGCAGCAGGAGCTGCAACGGCGCACTGGTGGCAGCTGCAGTGGTAGCAGTGTGCGCGGTAGGTAGAAAATAAACAGCAGTGAGATCGAGTGCCTCGCGGGCAGCGGCTGCAGAAGCGCACGGGCGGCAGCGGCGCACGGGGAACGGCAGTGCACGGGCAGCGGCGGCGCACGGGCAGCGGTGGCGCTCGGGAGGCAGCGGTGCGCAAGCAGCAGCGGAAGCAGCGGCGTACAAGCGGTTGCGGGCAGCGGGGCGTGTGCGAGCAGGCGACGAGCGGCTGCGGGCGGGCGGCCGCTGCGACGGCGGGCTGCGGGCCTGCGGGGCGTGCGCGAGCGGCAGCGGCTGCGGGCCTGCGGCGCACTAGCGGTAGCGGGCGACTCGCGGGCGGCGGCTGCAGAGGCGCACGGGCAGCAGCGCCGACAGCGCACGGGCGGCTGCAGCAGCGAGCGGTGCGCAAGCAGCAGCGGCAGCAGCGCACGGGTGGCAGCGGCGTCGGTGCACGGGCGGCAGCGGCGTCGGCGGACGGGCGGCTGCGGGCAACGGGCGTGCGGCAGCTGCGGCGGCGAGCTGCGGGTTTGCGGGGCCACGGCGGGGTGTGCGCGAGCGGGCGACGGGCGGCTGCAGCAGCGGGCGCGTCAGCGAGGCGCACAGGCAGCGCGCGGGCCGCGTGCAGGGCCGCGCGTAAAGAAAAACAGCCGCGCGCGTGCGGCTAGCGGGGCGCGCGCAGCGAAATCGACCGCGCGCGGGCGGGTAGCGGGATACGCGCGCTAAAAAAAAAGTCGAGTCGCGCGCGGGCGGCTGGCGGGCTGCGCGCGCGCGGTAGGTAGGAGGCGCACGAGGGCGCGTAGGCGCACGAGGCGCACAGTAGGTAGGTAGGTATGTAGGTAACGGTGGGCCCTAAGAACGGTCCTAGCGAAGGACCTGCTCTGAAACCATGTCAGTAATAACGGACTGGAATGATTGAACTATGAGTGAAAGCAGTACAAGTACCAAACCCTAGAATTGTGTACCCCCTATAGGCTAACCCACTGTAGCCTAAACAAACACAACATATATAATGTTTGACACCTCACCCTCGGAACTCACCTCATGTACGTCGAAGAAAACAGACCTGACCTCTCGGGCGGATTTCTTGGGAACCGAGCCTTCGCCTCGGCAGAAGACGAAGCTGACTGGGACGAGCAGAACGTGGAGGGAGCCTCGGAGGAAGCCGGACCTCTCCCTTACTGCTCCGTGGATGTCCCAATGGATGACGAAAATCCTCGCGAAAGCATCAACGCCGACGTCTTCTACGACCTCGCCGACGAGGGTTACGTTACACCTGCACAAGTCAACACCAACGAAGCAGAACGCGTAGGACCAAATTTCAATCCTACACCAGAAGCGGGAGACGAAGCAGTCTATCCCGAGGACACCACACTCCCCCGCTACACACAGAGTGGACTCCAGATACTTGGACTCGTCACCGCAGTCCACGGCGCAGCCATTCCTAAGGAGCCTGCGACAGTTCAACAGGCTCTGGGGGGGGAGCATAAAGAAAAATGGCGCGAAGCCATGGACAGAGAACTGAAAGCATTAGAGGAGCGCAACACGTGGAAAATTGTCCCTATCGGCGTAGCACGGAACAAGACCATTCTCACCGGGAAATGGGTCTTCCGCGTGAAGACGAAGGCCGACGACACCATTGATAAATTCAAGGCGCGTTGGGTCGTACGCGACTTCGACCAAGAACACGGACGCGACTTCACCGAAACCTTCGCTCCGGTCAGTCGACACACGTCGCTACGAATCCTCCTCGCGATTGCCGCCATGAAGAAGAAGAAACTGCGACAAATCGATGTCGCAAACGCATTTCTCTATGCACCCGTTGATGCAGAAATTTTCGTGGAACTACCGCACGGCTCCAACGGAGAGCCTAATCACGTCTTCCAGCTGATCAAGTCGCTCTACGGCATCAAGCAAGCTCCGCGGCTATGGCAGCAGTACCTGCACGCTCGCCTCATTCGCATCGGCTTCAAGCAACTACCGCACGATCAGGGCATGTACCGGCTCACGAAAGGCGCAGATTACATCCTGCTAATCATCTACGTAGACGATCTCCTCTATATCGGCTCAACCGACAGCGTCACTACCTGGTTCGAAGGGGAGCTGCAGCAGGACCTGACGCTAACGGTCTCATCTACCGTTACACAGTACCTCGGTCTCAACATCAGGGAACAGAAAGACGCAATCTACCTCAGTGCCGCTAAATACGCCGACACTATCGCTAAACGCTTCGCTCTCACACCAACCGCCATCTCCACACCATATCGCTACACGACAGGAAACATCAAAGAAGGCTCTACTCTACTCAAACCCGCCGGCATACGCGACTACCAGAGGAAACTGGGCTGCCTTCTCTTCGCAGCCGTCACCTGCCGTCCGGATCTATCATACTCCGCAAGCCAGCTCGCAACCTACCTGAAGAAGCCTGAAGCAGAACATCTGGCAGAGCTCAACCCAGTTGCTCCACTACTTCGTCAGCACTTCGACGATCGGCCTAACATGCCACAAGAACGCAACTACAACGCTCAAGTTAATCGGCTACGTCGACGCCGATCACGCCGGCGACTCCGACAACAGGCGCTCGCGCACCGGCTACATCTACCGCTTCGAGCCTATCGGTCCTATCTCCTGGCAGTCGAGCAAACAGGAACTAATTTCTCTCTCCTCAGCTGAAGCAGAATACATCGCACTCTGCTCAGCCACCAAGGAAGGACTCTATCTTCGCGAACTGCTGGAAGAGGCAAAATTGGCTCAGTTACCCAACTTCACCCTGTTCTGCGACAACCAGTCGGCAATTCGTATAGCCAACAAAAGCGGCTTCGCGAACAGGACGAAACATATTGCCCTGCGATGCTTCTTCGTGAAGGACGAGATCAAAAAAGGAAGGCTCGAACTGTCATACTGCCCCACATCCGAGATGGCAGCTGACTACCTGACCAAGAAGCTCGGAAAACAGAAATTCGAGTACTGCATGCTGCTGACTGGACAGAGCCACGTCACCAGCAGCGACACTCCAGAAGCGAAGGGGAGTGTTGGAAACAATGAATCTTAAGCGCCTCTGTCGTGTCGAAACACTATGGCACAAGCGAAGCGAAGCATACCGAAACATCAGCGAGTCAACACTCGGAGGTTGAAAGTAACTGTTGGAGGTTACGCGAAAGTCAAAGGTCAGCGACCTTTGACCTGACAAATACAGCGCGACAGCAAGGACACACAACTGACTCACTACAGAGCGGTTGCCGGAGTCGTCACTGTATCGAATCGCAACAGCAAACAGTAAAGTAGTTAAAAAATCTCTTCATATTCCTTCTACTCTTATATAAATGCTTGTATCTCTTTGTTTTAATCAACTTACTTTGCCCTCACATACTAGCGCAAGGTGGTTCACAACTACATCATCAAACGCTTCCGCTATTACATCGTTCCTACCCAGAGTTCACCCCTGCAAAGATCCTCTAAGGGCTTTTCTCAGCCCAACAGGGGGAAATGGTGATGGATAGGAGGGGGAACGGGGAGGTGGGGATGGGGGGGCGTAGGGAAAGGGGGGTTGAAGTTGAGGAGGAGATGAGCACAGGTGCTAGCGTGGGAAGTGTTTCCATGACATGGCGGTTGTGGGGGTGCTTATGGAGGTTAGGGTTGGGGAACTTCAGAGAGAATTGTTTCGAGAAGTGGAGCTGTCGAGAATTGGATTTGCATACAGGGTTTTTGGCACCTGAGCGGAGTGCAAGCATGCTTGTGAGTAATCAGCACATAAGTAGCAGTTAATGCTAGCACTGGTAACCTGCACAATATGTAACTCTGGAACCATGGTTCTTCATTAGTGGTGAGATCTATCGTCCCATCATGGAATCGAGTTACTTCTGTGATGAGTATTACCTGATGTGCCATGCCATCCCGCCAGCACATACCCGCCAAGTGCAACCCCCAAACCTAGCCAACATCCGCAGCGCACCTCCTCTAACCCCAATCCCTAAGACCCTGTACCCCGCGCTGCCCCTATTCAATGGCACTCGAGGAATATTTCTAGCGTTCAGTTCATGGCTTCTCTTCCCCCAAGCTCGCGCCCTTTCACTTCGAGAAGTAGCGCCACTTCCGCCTCGATCTCCGGCGACTCCGCGTTCCGCTCCCCTGCGTTCGCGCGCTGCCCCTCTCCTCCGCGCGCCAGCTCTATTTCCCGCGAAACTTCAGCCTTGCGGAAAGCAGAACAACGCACCCCATTCGCAGAATCCCCTTCCGCTCACGCGCGGAAGAATCTTTCCGCAAACGCTGCTCCCGCGGCCGGCGCTTCGAGCCAATCATTCGTCGCGAGCGACGAATCTCGACCGTCCGATCTCGTCGAAACTCCCTACTGCCCGCTTCCGCCAATGGCCGATCCGTCCGACGCGCTCGTGCTGGCGTTGCACGAAGTCGAGGCCGTGAAATTCGGCAGCTTCAAGCTTAAGAGCGGAATCTGGTCGCCGATTTACATAGATCTGCGCGTGATCGTATCGTATCCGAAGCTGCTGCAGCAGGTCGCCGACGCGATGTGGGCTCTCGTGTGCCCGTCGGTTGTGGGCGAATCCGACGCCGCTGCGAAATTCGACAACGTCTGCGGCGTCCCGTACACCGCGTTACCCATCGCCACGGCCATTTCGCTTTCGCGAAACGTCCCGATGGTCATGCGAAGGAAGGAGGTGAAAGGGTACGGCACGAGGAAGGCGATTGAAGGGGCTTTCCAAACTGGCCAGCATTGCCTCGTTATTGAGGACCTCGTTACAAGTGGGGCATCCGTGATGGAAACTGTAGAACCGCTTAACGAAGTAGGGTTAAAAGTAACCGACGTGGTTGTCCTTATCGATAGGGAACAAGGCGGCGCCGCGCATCTGGCGGCGCGAGGGCTGCGCCTCCACGCGGCGCTGACGCTGACACATGTCGTCACGGCACTGGTCAAGCACGGCAAGCTGACCAATGACGTGGCAGAGTCCGTTACCAAATTCATTGCGGAGAACCAAACCGCAAATCCCGCCGCTGCCCCCGCCGTTGCCCTCGCCGCTGCCCCCGCCCCTGCTGTAACGGTTACTCCTGTAACCGCCGCGCCTTCGCGAAAGTCGTACGCCGCTCGCGCGGCCCTGGCGAAGAACGAGGTGGGCCGGCGGCTGTGGGAGATCATGGAGCGGAAAAAGACAAACCTGTCGGTGGCTGCTGACGTGGAGTCGGCGGAAGAGCTGCTCAAGCTGGCGGAAACGGTGAGCTGGCGCGGGGGGGGGGGGGGGGGGACGTTGGGGGAGGGGGGTGGGGAAGGGAATGAGGTGAAAAGAGGGTGTTGAAGGGGGGATGGTGGGGAACGGGTCGCCGAAAGGGGAAAGGAACAAGAGAATGTCGAGGATGAGTTTTCATTCCAACTATCAAACATTCCTAAGTTCACAGTATCAATAGCGAGGCAACGGCCTTCCTTCCGTTCCCCCCATTCCCCCTCCCTCTCCCCTTTACACCCTCCACTGTATTCAATGCCCAAGAATTTTTATCTCGAATCCCTTTCTTTCTCCTATGTCACCAGAACCTCAAACTCTACCGTCCAAAACCCTCAACCCTGCTTTCCCAACCAAACTCCTTACTTCCAGTGCAACACGCGTATCGGAAAGGGGATTTGGGTGCTAAAGATCCACGTGGACATTCTCCCATGCCTTCGTCTGCCTGTCTAACTCCTCCATGCACGCTCCCCCCGGCTACACTTATCCCCCAAAACCCAACCCCCTGCAAACCCCTCGCACAGATCGGGTCGGAGATCGGTGTACTAAAGACCCACGTCGACATTCTCCCGAACTTCACTCCCGAGTTCGGCAAGCTCACCCGCCCTTATCCCCCCTCCCTTACTTTCCCTCCCCTCCCTTACTTTCCCTTTCTCCCTATCACCCCTTCAAACCCCCCTCCCTCAAACAGATGGGGTCGGAGAACTGTGCGCTCAAGACCCACGGACATCCCCCCATGTCTTCTTCCCCTCCCTCTGCCTGTTTTTCCTCTTTAAACCCCACCCCTGCCGCAGATCGGGTCGGAGATCTGTGTGCTCAAGACGCACGTGGACATCCCCCTATGTCTTCTTCCCCTCCCTCTATAAACCCGTGCTTGTTTTGTCCCTCCAAAACCCCCTCCTCACCATGCAAACCCCCCTTGCAGATCGGGTCGGAGATCTGTGTGCTCAAGACGCACGTGGACATTCTCCCGGACTTCACTCCCGAGTTCGGCAAGCGCATCCGCGAGGTGAGTGGTGCTATGCGGTCCCCTGTGGCTCTGTGCGGCGATGAGCAGCTGTGTGGGGTGAGAATCAGTGGTGTGATTTGTCGTCTTCATGATGACCAGTGTTCATCGCCGTCCGCCTAGTCTTGTGGGGCCGCAAGCCTGTGCCCGTGCCCGTGCCCGTGCCCGTGCCCGCGCCTGTGCCCGTGCCTGTGCCACACACTAGTGACTGTGTCTCCTGTCTCATGTCTTTCCGCTCCCTGCTTTGCCCGTCTCTGCTCTTGTCTGCTCCTCACCCCCCGTTCTCACCATTTGTGCTGCAGATCGCCACGCGTCTGGACTTCCTGGTGTTTGAGGACCGCAAGTTTGCTGACATTGGTAACACGGTTACCATGCAGTACGGCGGGTGAGTAGTTACGTGGTGGGGTTCCGTACCTGTCCATCTCTCTCACATTCTCGTCCCCTTTACCCATTGTTCTTCTCACGCCTAGAAGAAACATTTACATGCATCATCCCAGTTTTTGATGCGCTTCAAACGAGGCCCCACAGGCAACAACCCAGTTTCCATCCATGCCACTACTAATGTCACTCTTCTCGCGTGTTTTCATTTTCTAGAGAGTCTATCATCGGACTTCACATTCTCACTCACATTCTCACTCACATTCTCACTCACTTTCTCACTCACCTTCTCACTCACATTCTCACTCACATTCTCACTCGCATTCTCACTCACATTCTCACTCACATTCTCACTCACATTCTCACTAACATTCTCACTCACTTTCTCACTCACATTCTCACTCGCATTCTCACTCGCATTCTCACACTTTCTCACTCACATTCTCACTCACATTCTCACTCTCCGCCTGCTGCTCACAGGGGCATCTACAAGATCTCGGAATGGGCTGACATCATCAACGCGCATGGTGTGCCGGGGCCAGGCATTATCAAGGGACTCAAGCAGAAGGTAAGGCACGATGGTGTGCGGTGGGATGGGGTGGGTTGGGGGTTTCGGTGCGGTGGAACGTGGTGGGGTGGGGTTACATGGATGCCACTACGTGCATAGGCTCACGGACTGGAAATGGGCTCAGGTCTTAAAAAACGACCGTTTATTTATTTATTTATTTACTGTAAAGAACGGTACCGTAAAATTCGACCGTTTAAATCGGTTTAAAACGGTTCCAGGAGGTGTTTTCAGCTTAATTAATCAATCGGCCACTTTATGGGACCAAATTGAACCCAAATTTCAGCAAGATGAAGGGGACAGGCCCCTTCTTGCATGTGTGCGCTTGTTGGCATGATTAAAAATGTATTTGACCTTGTTTTCCCCTTTTTTTACTTGGTGACCAGAGTTCTCTAACAAAAAAACACCCGTTTTTATTAATCACCGTTAAAAACGACTGTAAAAAACGGACCGTATTTTGCGAAAACCGTATTTTTTAACCTTGAATGGGCTGACGTCATCAATGCACATGGTGTGCCGGGGCCAGGCATTATCCAGGGACTCAAGCAGGAGGTGTGGGAATGGGAGATTGTTGTGCGGTGGAATGGGGTGGAGTGGGGTTCAAGTCCATGGTGTGCCGGGGCCAGGCACCATGTAGGGACTCAGGCAGAAGGTGTGGGCAGGGGACGGGTGCAATGGAGTGGGTTGGAAGGAGTGCGGTAGGGTGGAATGGCATTGAGGGCCCGTGGGGTTCAAGCACATGGTGTGCCGGAACCAGGCATCGTCCAGGGACTTGAGCAGAAGGTATGGGCGGGATGTTGAACGGTGGAGTGCGGTGGAGTGCGGTGGAGTGTGTTCGATTGGGATGGGCCAGGGTTGAGAAGTGTGGGTTGTGGTGGGTTGGGGCTCAAGCACATGGTGTGCCGAGACCAGACATCGTCCAGGGGCTTTAGAAGAAGGTGAGGCGGGATGGGGAGTGGTGGAGTGCGGTGTTGTGTGTGTGTTCTCCTCCTAGCAGAGCTGAGCTCGGCAGCCACGCTGCAAGCCACCCTCCCCTGCACGCTTCCCCTTCACCCCCCTAACAGGGCGGATCCTGCTCGCCGAAATGATTTTTGAGAATTCTAAAACACCAACCCACCCTCCCCTGCACGCTTCCCCTTCACCCCCTTAACAGGGTAGATCGCTCCTGCTGCCAGCCGAAATGAGCTGGGAAGGCATTCTAGCCCACTCCACCTACACGGCAGCCACGCTGCGCATGGCACTCACCCACCTTCCCCGCCCCACTTCCCCCCCCCCCGCTCACCCCCCCCCCTAAACCAGGGTGGGTCGCTCTTGCTACTCGCAGAGATGAGCTCAGCCGGAACCCTAGCCCACTCCACCTACACTGCCTCAACGCTGCGAATGGCGCTCACTGACCCGGACTACGTGATTGGATTCATCTCCATCCACCCGGGGGGCTGGCGCACCGGTGCCACTGCTGCTGCTGGTGGTGCAGCGTGTGAGGAGCTGGCAGCGGCTGTGAGGGAGGCGGAGGCAGCAGGGGTGTGGGATACGTTGGTGCACATGACACCGGGCGTACAGCTGGCGGCTGGAGGGGACGCGCTCGGACAGCAATACAACACGCCAGACGCGGTGAGTTCTTGAGTGGGTGTGTGCTGCGGCTACTGCTGCAAGCGGAGGCATGTGAGGAGCTGCAAGCGGAGGCATGTGAGGAGCTGGCAGGGGGGGTGTGGGATACGTTGGTGCACATGACACCGGGCGTGCAGCTGGCGGCTGGAGGGGACGCGTTAGGGCAGCAGTACAACACGCCAGACGCGGTGAGTTGATTGAACCGTGGGTGTGGTGGGTGGTGATGAAGCTGCAAGGGTCCGACATCACCGTAGGTCATGGGGTTGTCCGAATCTTGGTACTTGTTCTTCTCGGTCCCCCTCCTCCCCCTCTTCCTTCCCCAGGTGATCAAGCAGCAAGGGTCTGACTGACGTCATCATGGTGGGTGGGATCCATTGGTGGTCCACATTCTTCCCTTGCAACCTCCCCCACCCCTCTCGTACCCCCCTCAACCGCTCTCCACCCCCAGGTGATCAAGCAGCGGGGCTCCTTCATCATGATAGTGGGCTGGGGAATCATCAAGGCGGCTGATCCACTGGCCCATTCCTCCTACCCCCAACACCCCCAGTTACCCGTCTCAACCCATCTCCACTCCTCCCCGCCCTCTCCCACACTTCCCCAGGTGATCAAGCAGCGGGGCTCCGACATCATTATAGTGGGACCCATGGAAGCAGGTTCTTGACTCTTACCCCCAATACCCCCTCAACCCCTCACAATCCCTCTCCATCCCCAGGTGATCAAACAGCGGGGCTCCGACATCATTATAGTAGGCCGGGGAATCATCAAGGCGGCCGACCCGCTGGAAGCTGCCAGGAAGTATCGCGAGGCTGGGTGGGCGGCGTACGAGGAGAGCCTTGCTGCTGCTGGTGCGGTCTAGAAGGCGTGGGCTGAATATAATAGAATGTGAAAGCCTTGGTAACTCGAAGAAAGCCTTTCTGCCGCTGCGACTGCCGGCGCCGCCGCCGCTGCTGCTGCTGGTGCAATCTAGAAGACACGGGCTTGAGTTGGAGGTCTGATTTGCAAAACATAGGCCTACCAGTATCAGGAGTGAGAGAAGCAAAATCTATCTTGGTTGTGTTTTTGTTGTGCTTGTTACCGGTAGGTGTCTGGATGTGGTGTGGAATGTATTCGATGATGCAGGCATTTCTGTTTGATTATTCGAACTCAGTTCGAGTCTTCCTGTAGCGTTACCGGTAGTTTCAATCAACCTGCCATTGTTCATTTAGCGAATTCGCTGTCCAAATCCTATTCCTGGTAACCTATTTTTGCTGGACAGACATTGCCATTGCCAGTATCTCTGTGGATATTAACCTACATTTACTGTTGAATATACAATTCTTCGTTTCAAATCTTGTTAAATGTCGCCGTGCTATCTTCGACTTACCGAGTTTCGTGAAATCGAACATTCTTCATTCTCTTTATTGGTGCATTCACAGTGGTCTGGGGCTGTGCGCCCCCAACCAAGTTTTTTGCGCCAGTCAATACATCATCTCACGACAACCCTCGAGCCCTCTTCTTTTTACATCCACATACATACATCATCTCACGGCAACCCTCGAGCCCTCTTCTAGAACAGCTTCTATAGCAAACTCATCGTCCGTTGTCATTGCATACGGTACAGTCACGTCAGGGTGATTGTAATAGTTCAGTTCGGTAGTGTCACGAGGAGGAATAGGCAGATGGGACGCCCAGGAGGTCGTTTCGCGCCACGTGGCCATCCACGTGGACCGTCGCTGCCCCTCTCCTTGCAGCAGCAGCTTCAAGAGCCCGTCGATGACGATGATGACGTGGCGCTATCGGGTAGGCCGCCGTCAGATTCCCTCCACGTCCTCTTCTAGTTTTTTTTTCTACCTTTATTACTATTTCCATGTGATAGACTTTTAATCGCATTTTAAAATCGAAAGGGCGAGCCGGCTTAGAAATTTGCTGTTTTCCCTTCTCCTGCCCGTTGCAATTACGCAGACGAAGATGTGGGCAGGGTTTCGGGTTTACCGCGCAAAAGGGGTTTATCGCGGAAGGAGCAGCGGCGGCAACAGCGGCAGGAGAAGCAGAAGAAGCGGCAGGAATGGGCGCAGCAGCGAGTGGGTGGGCGGAAAGCGGGGGGCGCAGGTGGAAACGCGGGGGGAGCGGAAGGAGGCACGGGGGGCGGTAAGGGAGCAGGTGGAGCAAGGGGAGGAGGTCAGACGCTGGCGAAGGGGAGGGCCATGGCGGGGGGAAGCTTAAAGCGGGGGAGACAGGTGTCCGGGGGAGCAAAGATCAGGGGGAGGGGGCAGGCGGAAAGAAAGGCGCAACACAAGAGGCTGGGCAAATGGGACCAAGCGGCACTGTAGCAGGGGGAAAGAGCGGAGCGGCAGTTGTTGGCGGAAAGAGGAAAGCGGCGGAGCTGGCAAGTGGTGGGGGGAAAGAGATGGCGGGGGGTGCTGTGGGGAAGGGCACGGGGACAGGAGCGCGAGAGGTGGCGAGGGAGGGAAAGAAAGAGGGGATGCAAGCAGGGACGAAAGAAGATCAGGGAGAAGGGAAGAAGGAAGGAAAGAAGGAAGGAAAGAAAGAGGGGAGGAGTGGGGAGGAGAAGGAGGGGAAGAGGAGGAGGAGGATGACCAACTTTGAGCGGCTGTTAGAGATGGAAGAGAATGGAGGGATGACTGTGAGAGAGGAGGAGGAGGAGGAGAGGAGGCTCGCCAAGAAGCTGAATGTGAAAGGCGGGGTTTTGCCAGGGTCTAAGGACGGTTTGGAAGGGTTTTTGGGGTTTGGGGGGAGTGATGAGGAGGATGGGTGGGGCGGGATGGGAGGAGGTTTAGGGGATTCGGAAGATGAGGAGGAGGACGAGGAAGAAGAGGGCGTAGAAGGGTTTAGTGAGGAGGATTATAGTGAGGATGGGATGGAGGATGGGGAGGAGGAGAGAGAGGAAGGAGAGGAAGGGGAAGAGGGAGAGGAGGGAGAGGAATGGGAGGAAGGGGAGGAAGGGGAGGAAGGGGAGGAAGGGGAGGAAGGGGAGGAAGGGGAGGAGGGAGAGATGGAGGAAGATGAGGATGACGAAGAGGGATCACTGGGTTCTTTTGAGGAGGATGGGGAATGGTCAGATGATGGTAGTGAGGAGGGAGAGGAGGGAAAGGAAGGGGATGAAGAGGAGGAGGAGGAAGGGGGGGAGTGGGAGGACGAGGAGGAAGAGCAGGGTGGAGAAGCAGCAGAGGAAGGGGAAAAGCGCACAAGTGCTCTGGCGAATAAAAAAGTAGGCGAGGGGGGAAAGTACGTGCCACCTCATTTGAGACGAGCAGCGGCAGGAGGAGCAGGGGCCGAGGACGATGCTGCTGAACGGCAGCGGGTGATCCGACGGCTGAAAGGTGAGCGTTGCATGATCTGACGGCTGCATTATTTGTTTTCTGGATGGCTGTCGGTTTTGGGAGGGAGAATGTGTGATGGTTGTCAACTCTTGTGATCGTACCCTGCCTTTGAGAGTGTTTAAACAAGACGCAGAAGCACCATTGCCTCACTTTTCTTCTGCTTCTCTCCTCTTCTTCACCCATACACACCCACACAAACACCTCCTCACCCCACGTACGCCCTCATCTCTGCTGGCGCTGGCCTCTTGAGCCGCCTCTCAAGAATCCGGCATAGATGATTGTGGAATACGTGGGGTGATGCACCCCTCATCCCTCCTCACCCCACGTACACCCTCATCCTGATGATTGTGATGCCTCACATTCCCCCCTCCTATCCCTTTCCATCTCATCCCCCTCTCCCTCCTCCCCTCGCCCTCTCATTCCTCCTCTCCCTCTTTCCCTCACCCCTCGTCCCTCCTCTCCCTCTTCCCCTCGCCCTCTCATCCCTCCTCTCCCTTTCTCCCCTCCCCGCTCCCCCCTCCCCTCCCTCCCCCCTCTGCAGACCTCTAAAATTGCTGCTCAGAGTCTAACGTGATTCCTTTTTTGCTTCCTCCTCTTCCCCTCTCCCCCCTTCCCCCTCTCCCGTTCCCCACCTCTCCCCTCCCCTCCCACCTCCCTTTCCCCCTTCCATCCCCCCTCCCCACTCCCCTCCCTCCTCCCTCCCTCCATCGCCCATCCCTCCCCCGTCTATCTGCAAGCCTTCTGAACCGCCTCCCGCCTCTCGAGTGATATATGAGAATTCTCAAAAATCACTTCTGAAATGCCTCTCGGGGTCCAACGTGGGTGCCGTCACGTCACGAGTTGACTTTTGAGTCGACTCAAAAGTCCTCTCGGGGTCCAACGTGGGTGCCGTCACGTCACGAGTTGACTTTTGAGTCGACTCAAAAGTCCTCTCGGGGTCCAACGTGGGTGCCGTCACATCACGCTCCTGGGAGGAGGATGACTCACAGCCCCTCATCGCCCATCCCTCCCTTTTTCCGCGTGCATCTCATCCGTCCCCCCCTCCCCTCCCCTTTCCTCTCTCTTCCCCACTCGTCGTACCCACTCGTCGTACCCACTCTTCTGCAGGCCTTCTGAACCGCCTTTCAGAATCCAACGTGGATGCCATCAGCTCTGACGTCAGCACCCTCTTCCAGGTGGGTTCCTTGCTCCGTTTTGCAGGGGCCCTGGCAGGCATCCTGGCATGACGTGGCATGGTGCGGCATGGGATGGGATGGTGTGGCACGGCATGGCATGGCATGGCATGGCACGGCGCTGCATGGGATGGCACAGCATGGCATGGCATGGCATGGCATGGGATGGCATGGCATGGCATGGCATGGCATGGCATGGCATGGCATGGCACGGTACGGCAATTCTGTTTCGTCCCTTTCCCATACAGCTGCACAAGCGGTCGTCGTTGGTGGCAGCACGGGTGGCAGATGAGGTCATCGCGGTGCAGCATGGCACCAACGCAACACAACACACAACACGCACAGGCATTCCTATCCACGGTTTCATTCATTCTGTCTTTTATCCATCCCTGCCTCCGTCAATCCTCCTCCCAACCTGTGCATGCAGCTGCACAAGCGCGCGTTGGTGGCAGCACTGGTGACGGAGGAGGTCATAACTGCATGCACCAACGCACCTCGGGGCAACGAGCAGTTACGTCCCGTGCCCTCTGCACTCTTGCTTCCTTTTTCAAGTCTGCCATTCCATCCTGGGCTCCATTACATTATTCTCTTCTAATAGCACTCCGCTTCTCACCCCATCCTATCCCGTCCAACCATGAGCTATATCCCACGCATTATCGTATCGTTCCTGCCAATGGATCCCGTGTCGTTGTAGTCAGTTAATATCGTATCAGTAGTATCATGAGCACTCTGCATTATAGTGACTTTTGAGTCGACTCAAATATCAGTAGTATCATGAGCACTCTGCATTATAGTGACTTTTGAGTCGACTCAAATATCAGTAGTATCATGAGCACTCTGCTGCATTATAGTGTCATCCGCCCCTCCCCTTCTCAAACCACGGCCCCCTGTTTTCCGCTACTCACCCTCTGCGTCCCCTGCTGGTACACACTCAAATCTGTCGATTTCACTTGACCTGTCCTGTCCCCCCACCCACTTCTGCTGCCTGCAGGTACGCGGCAGTGTTTGCGGCGTTCGTCGCTGCCACGGCCGCCACCGTTGGGATCGACTTTGCAGCCAACTTCACCGCCACGCTTGCCACTCGCTTCGAGGTAAGCCGGTTGCTGGGTGCACATATGGTAGGCTCAAGCAAACGGCCAGGGTCGGGTCGGGTCAGGTCGGGTCGGTTCGGGTCGGGTCGGGTCGGTTCGGGTCGGTTCGGGTCGGGTTGGGTCGGTTCGGGTCGGGTCGGTTCGGGTCGGTTTGGGTTCGGTTTGGGGTTGGTTCAGGTGGGGAGTTGCTCCTCTGGTGGTCCTCGATCCGACCCAACCTGTCCCAGCCCAGCCCCAGGTCGCGAAATCCTCAGACCAAAATCCCCAGTCGGGTCGAACATTCAGACCCGACTGACTGGGGCTGAGCAAATCCGGGACGGGCCGGGCCGGGACGGGTGAACCTATTGTCCATGCCTTACAAATGGTGATCGGAAGCCCTGCTCACTTTGAAATAGGCTGGTCCTTCATTGAAAGCCAATCCTATGTTTACAAGTCCTAAAAAAAAAAAGAAGCTGATGCCATATTGACATCATTGGCACAGCACAGTTGCCGTAATCGTCCGCACGCACGCAGGCCTTGCACAACTCGGAGGAGTTCGTTGGGTCTGCTCCAATCCCACCATACTGCTCCAATCCCACCACACCATACTGCACAATACAAGTATTCTAAAGAACCATAAATTCCTGAATTTTACCACCGGCCCCCTCCCCTCCCCTCTCCGTCAATTGCCCCCATCAGGCGCTGTACGAAGCAGATGAAGCGCTGGGTCTGCGTAATCTCACCATGCTGCTTGCCTACCTCTATGTCTTCAAGCTGCTTGCCCCGTGAGTCATTCTAACTATGCTGAGAAGCCAAACTACTGAGTTGACCTTTCAAACGTGCCCATCTTGAAAGCCGATCTCACCATGCTGCTTGCCTTGCCTACCTCTATGTCTTCAAGCTGCTTGCCCCGTGAGTTTGTCGGGATGGTCTGACTGAGAGATGAGATGACGTTTCGAAAGTGAATAAGTCTGGAAGTTGAAAGTCAATCTCACCATGCTGCTCGCCATTGGCTTGTGCCGTCAAAGTGTTTTGCTCCATAAGCTTGGCATAACTGTGTGTCGGCTCAAAAGGTATCTCTACGGTTCTCCTTTGCATGTCTCTCTTCTCCACCCTGCCTCCCTGCATGCAGGGAGGTGATATACTCGTTTCTAGCTCGCCTCACAGATGGATTCAAAGAGCTCGATGTGGCTGCCATGATTAACTTGCTACAGTGTGAGCGTTGTAAAAAGGCTCTATTCTCTCTGCATGCATTCATTGGTCTCCTGAGCCTGCCTGCCTGCGTACATTCACTGTTTTGCTCTGCGTGGAAAGATTTCCCATTCAGAGCCAAGCCTCCTTCATAGCCTTGTAAGGATCCATGAAGAGCCAAGCCTCTCACCTCCACCCACGCACTCACCCGCTTGCTCAGCTTAGCACCAACGCTGCCTTTGCACTGCCTTTGCTCAGCTTAGCACCAACGCTGCCTTTGCACTGCCTTTGCTCAGCTTAGCACCAACGCTGCCTTTGCACTGCCTTTGCTCAGCTTAGCACCAACGCTGCCTTTGCACTGCCTTTGCTCAGCTTAGCACCAACGCTGCCTTTGCACTGCCTTTGCTCAGCTTAGCACCAACGCTGCCTTTGCACTGCCTTTGCTCAGCTTAGCACCAACGCTGCCTTTGCACTGCCTTTGCTCAGCTTAGCACCAACGCTGCCTTTGCACTGCCTTTGCTCAGCTTAGCACCAACGCTGCCTTTGCACTGCCTTTGCTCAGCTTAGCACCAACGCTGCCTTTGCACCGGCACTGCACCTCATATCTCACACCTCCCGTTCTCCCCACTCAACCAAATCACCCCCTCCCCGCTCGCGCCACCTTGTTGCAGCGTGCGGGCTTGGCCTGAGAGCCGATGACCCCGTGGTGACGACCTGGCAGTGCAGAGCAAGGCAGCAGATATGCTCCCCCCCCCCCCCCCCCCCCCCCCCCCCCTCCCTCCTCAACCCCCTCCACCCCATTCCCCCACCTTGTAGCAGCATGCGGGCTGGCTTTGAGAGCCGACGATCCTGTAGCGATGAAAGAGGTGGTTTATGCGTCCCTTGCTCTCCCTCCCTCACATTTCCTGCATTATTTTTTCCCCACTCAACCAAATCCCCTTCGCCCACCTTGTTGCAGCATGCGGGCTTGCCCCGAGAGCTGACGATCCAACAGCAATGAAGGAGTTCAGTTGGGCCGTGCAGAGCAGAGCAACGCAGCCGACATGCTCCTCCCTCCCGCCCTCCCTCAAATTCCCGCCACCCCATTCCGCTTCCCAACTTTCCCCATCTTACTGCAGCATGCAGGCTCTCACTGAGAGTCGAGTCGATGACCCCATGGCAATGAACCCCACTGCAGTGCAGAGCAAGGCAGCGAACATCATCCCGCTCTGCAAGCAACCATTCCCACTCCTCGCCTTTACTCCTCTCCACTCCCCTCCGCTCCTCTACTCTCCTCCCCACTCCTCCCCATGCCAGCATGCGGGCTTGCCCTGAGAGCTGACGATCCTGTGGCGATGAAGGAGTTTATCCTCTCCGTGCAGAGCAAGGCAGCAGACAGAAGGAGGCAAGCACAGGACGCACAGAGTGAGGGTGCTGCTGGCGGCAAGCCAGTGCCAGTGTTGAGCAAGCGGGTGAGTGCCTGGATGAATGATGGAGGGGAGAGGCATGGCTGGGTGTTAGATGAAGGAGTTCATCCTAGCCGTGCAGAGCAAGGCAAGGCAGCTGATACTCGGAGACAAGCACAGGAGTCACGAAGAGAGGCCGCTGGTGGTGGAGCAGAGGCAGCTCCAGTGATGAACAAGCGGGTGAGTGCCTGGATGGAGGTGCGAGGTGTGGCAATGAGTTGAAGGAGGTGCAACTCCCACCTCCATCCACTATCACATGTCTAGTTCAGGCTCGGGACCATCACAGAGATAAATATAGAACAATTGAACACCTTGTGTCAGCCCCCTTGCATTCCCCAACCCCTCATCCTCGCCCCTTCCAAACCCCATCCCAGGTCGAGTTCAGGCTCGGGACCATCACGGACATAAATAACAACCGCATTGCCTTATGTCGCCCCTTGCATTGCCTTATGCCGCCCCTTGCATTGCCTTATGCCGCCCCTTGCATTGCCTTATGCCGCCCCTTGCATTGCCTTATGCCGCCCCTTGCATTGCTTTATGCCGCCCCTTGCATTGCGCGCTCTCACATACCAACCTGGCCCCTCTTATCACCCTCCCACATCCCATCCCATCCCATCCCATCCCATCACATCACATCACATCCCATCCCTTCATGCTCGGGACCATCACAGAGCGCCACATGTCACCTGTTCTCTCGTGTACTGCCCCTCGTGCCAAGCCAACTCACCCCACTAACCTGTACGGTACAGGTTAGTGGGGTGGCTGTACCACCCCTTCATCACCCTCCTTCCTAACCCAGGTAGAGGGCTTTATACTCGAGGCCATGACAAACGTCAATAACAACCGAGCGCCTCGCAACGCTGGCCGCAGGGGAGGGGGAGGAACGGGGACCATGCCAGTAGCAGAGGGGGCAGGAAGGGGGGAAGGCAGCATCTCATGGGGCAGGAAGGGGGGGAGGCAGCATCTCATGCCAACCCTTTCTTCTCCTCACACCCGCCTCCGTTGCAGGTGGATTTCATGCTCGAGACAATCACCGACATCAAGAACAACCGAGCACCTTGTGTCACGCCTTGCACTGCTTGTTATTGTCACCTCAACTTACCCCTCAACCCTCTTAACCCCCCTCACCATCAGGTGGAGTTCATGCTCGAGACAATCACGGACATCAAGAACAACCGAGCACCACGCAACGCCGGCCGTAGAGGAGGAAGTGGGACCATGGGAGGGACAGGGGGAGCAGGAGGAGTAGTCATGGGGGAGGGGGGGCGGCCGTTGGGGGAGGGGGAGGGGCTGCGGGGAAGGGGAAGGGGGCGGTGAGCGTGTTTACAAAGGGAGGCGGGGCAGCAGAGGCAAGTGACGGCAGCACGGCCGTTTCCCGCCTGCAGAAATGGCTGCTCAAGGTGAGTGCGGTGTGGTGCGATATTGGTCAGTATGGTGTGGAGTGCGTGTACAGGGTAACTTCTGTTCCAGCCTCCGTATTCCCAAATTTCCCTTCTGACACTCCAGCCAGCCCCACCCTTCACCCCCTTCACTTTTTGAGTTTACTCAAAAGCTCACTTCAGCCCAACCCTCATCACTGTTATTCCATACTCATCACCCTCCAACCCACCCAACCTTCTCTTCTCTAGCCCACCCAACCTTCTCTTCTCTAGCCCACCCTCTATATTATTATCATCATCGTCGTCGTCGTCGTCGTCGTCGTCGATCCCCCAACCCACCCTTCACTCTCTTCACCAAACCAGAACAAGATTCCTCCTACCCCGCTCTCCATTCCCCCACCCTTGCCCCCGCTCTCTTTCCCCCATTCCCCCCCTTCTCTTCCCCCCGTTCCTCCTGCCCCCAATTCTCCCCCTCATGTCTTCCCAGCGTCCAGTGGAAACCGTTCAGCTACGATCGCTGACGTGGCAGCGCCTGATTGACCCGCACAAGCACGGCCAATGGTGGCACACCTCCTCCTCCCAACCCCTTGGCTCCCTACCCGCCACATCAGCAGCACTGGGCAGCAGCGGCAGTGCCAGCCTGGCGGTCCAGCTGGCGGGAAACGCGCTGCTGGACGCTGCTGACGTGGCGGAAGCCGAGAGGCTGATGCAGCTGGCGGCGGCGCAGAGGATGAACACGGATGCCAGGCGGGCGGTGTTCTGTGTGATTATGAGCGCAGAGGATTATATCGATGCCTTTGAGAAGCTGCTGAGGCTGGGACTACCCGGCAAGCAGGTGTGTTCTCTTGCTTATGACATGTTCCAGGCCCGCCTCTTCTCTGCCTGATGCAGCTCGCAGCAGCAGCGCCAGCAGGAGCTGGAGACAGGGCAGAGGATGAACATGGACGCCAGGCGGGCAGTGTCCTGTGTGATTATGAGCGCCGAGGATTATATCGATGCCTTTGAGAAACTGCTGAGATTGGGTCTTCCAGGCAAGATCCCATTGGTGCACTGCACGTGTGCTTCTCATCCCTGGCAGGGCAGGCAGGGCCCCAGATGAGAAGGTTTGTGAGCATTGATGAAGGTGCGCTACTGACAGCTTCTGATCCCTGGCAGGGCAGGGCCCCAGATGAGATGAGAGAACTTGATACGACGTGAGGTGTCTTTTGAGTCGACTCAGAAGCCACTTGAGAAGCGTACTGTCATTCTGTGGGTCTCTCTTCTCCCCTTTTTTCCCACCACAGGACCGGGAGATGCTGAGGGTGCTAGTGGAGTGTTGTACGCAGGAGCGTCATTTTAACAAGTACTACTGCTCCCTTCTGGCTGGCGTTTGAAGAAGTGTTTTGAGACGTCTCAAAACACTTCTTCAAACACGCAGGAGCGTCATTTTAACAAGTACTACTGACTGCTCCCTTCTGGCTGGCCAGGCGCCTATGTGAGCACTCTCGGAGTCACAAGTTCAGTCTGCAGTACTGCCTGTGGGACCACTACCAGCAGCTCCCTGACATGGACCTGTTCCCTTTCACACCTGTGCCTCTGTTTCCCCCTTTCCGCCTGCTATTTCCCACCACAGGACCGGGAAATCTTGCGTGTGCTGGTAGAGTGCTGTATGCAGGAGCGCCATTTCAACAAGTATTATTCCCTTCTAGCTGGGAGGTTGTGTGGGCACGCTCGGAGTCACAAGTTCAGTCTGCAGTACTGCCTGTGGGACCACTATCAACAGCTCCCCGACATGGACCCCCGCCGCTCGCTGCACCTCGCTCAGTTCGCCGCCCAGATTGTCGGCAACCATGCGCTGTCGCTGGCGCTGCTCAAGGTACTGCTGTGCTTGCCCTTTCCCACCAGTTATGCAGTTATCCGGGTGCTTGCCCTATGCAAGCTAACCCAACCCGCCGCTCGCTGCACCTCGCTCAGTTCGCCGCCCAGATTGTCGGCAACCATGCGCTGTCTCTGGCGCTGCTCAAGGTACTGCCGTGCTTGCCCTTTCCCACCAGTTATGCATTTATCCGGGTGCTTGCCCTATGCAAGCTAACCCAACCCGCCGCTCACTGCACCTCGCTCAGTTCGCCGCCCAGATTGTCGGCAACCATGCGCTGTCGCTGGCGCTCCTAAAGGTACTGCCTTGCTTTTCATTTGCAACAGCTGTCACATGCAGCAGCGATTAAAGCCCGCGTCCCAAATTGCGGAGCGCGCGGGTCAAGTTTTTAAAACTTGACGAAGTGGAGTGTGCAAGCTTTGAAAAGAAGCGCGTGTGCAATTTGGGACTTTCGATGACTGATTGACTCACCAGCGGGAAAAACAAGGGCTGGCTGGGTCTTGCGTTGGAACTCTAGCCAAAACCCAGACCAGAAAAACCCCCTCTTGTCAACTTTTAAAAGCATGAACAATTTGGGCCAACGGCTTTAAGTTACCAGGTGCTTTAGTGGTCTTAATCGTTTAGATGTTTAGTTGTGCGTGGTTGATGGTGTGGAGCATGGAAGGGTCCAGGTGGCTACTATTTCCAGCGAAAGAAAGAAGCATGCAGAGGAAGTCATTTAGCTTCTTGCTTTTTCAGGTCTGGCGCATGAAGCCCAATGACTCCTCTGATTGCTTCTTTCTTTCGGTGGTCATGGTAGCCTTCTGGATCCTTGCTTGCTCCACACCATCACTCACGCACGACTAAACATTCGACGAATTAAGACCGCTACAGCACAATCAGATGGTCCAACATATCAGAAGAAGCTGTATGGGAGGGTTGGGATAAGCTATTCCAATGTCTCATAGATCTGTTCTCGCCCCCTTCCCGCTCAACACCTCGCAACCTACTGTTCCCTCCCAACCGACTGTGCCAACCTACTGTGCCAACCTACTGTGCCAACCTACTGTGCCAACCTACTGTGCCAACCTACTGTGCCAACCTACTGTGCCAACCTACTGTGCCAACCTACTGTGCCAACCTACTGTGCCAACCTACTGTGCCAACCTACTGTGCCAACCTACTGTGCCAACCTACTGTGCCAACCTACTGTGCCAACCTACTGTGCGCCACACCTCGCTCGCTCGCTCACTTCGCCACCCAGATCAACCCCCTTCCCCGTCCCTTCCTTCCCCTCCCTCCATCCCAGCCTGTGGATTTCGCAGGCTCAGCAGCCATGCACGCGCACTTAGCACTGCACTTTTGCCTCGTCCTCCTCCTTCCTCTTCCTCCTCTCTTTGTGAAATCTTCCTCTTTTCTACCCCGTACCCCCGTCCTTCCCACCTTCTCCTCCCCCCAGCCTGTGGATTTCGCAGACCCAGCAGCCATGCACGCGCACTTAGCACTGCACTTTTGCCTCGTCCTCCTCCTTCCTCTTCCTCCTCTCTTTGTGAAATCTTCCTCTTTTCTACCCCGTACCCCCGTCCTTCCCACCTTCTCCTCCCCCCAGCCTGTGGATTTCGCAGACCCAGCAGCCATGCACGCGCGCATAGCAACCCACTTCCGCCTCTTCTTCCTCTTCCTCCTCTCCTCCTTCCCCCCCGCCACCCTCTGGTCCCTCTTCTCCCGCATCGCCGCCCCAACCACCCTCGGCCCGCTACGAGACGGAATCCTCCTCTTCTTCGCCGCCCACCTCTCGCCGCATGCGCCATCCACGCGCCAACTGCTACAGTATATTAGGAGCGAGGGGGGGAATGAGGGTGGGGAATCGGCTGCTGGTGTGGGTAAGGGAGGGAAAGAGAAGGTTCTGGAAGAGAGGTTGAGATTGGCAAAGAAAGCGATTTCAAACATTGCTGGGACGCCTTTCAAGTAGACCTGACTCATCATGAGGTGGAATGAAAAAACCCCTTCAATTAAAACAAACACTCCCCTTGCGAGCAAACCTCCTTGGCTTTAAAAACAGTTAGATGCTGCCCTCTCTTCTAGTGAGACTGGTTGCTTCTTGCTTTGCAGTGCGTGCGAGCACAGTTTCTTTTCCTCGAAAGACATCTCACCCAAAAGTTATGTCTGTCAAACGGTACCAGTACTACCGTACCGCAGTGTGATGCTACCAAATGATGTGCTGTTCTACTGCTTTGCAGCACTAGCTAGTATCAAGCAAAACCCTGTGTGCAAATGTGCACTCTGCTTCATCAGACAGGTCCGGTCCAGTCCCTCCATTTGCTCACATACCGTACTGCTGCTGCAGCAGCTGCTCCTACTGAGGGTACATTCCGCTCTGGACACAAATGTCTCAATCGCGTCATAAACCACTGTACCAGTCTGCACCGCATTACACCTAAGTGTCGAACATTTCCACCGCACTGCATCTCTTCGTTTGAGACGCGAGGCCTTTGTGACGCGCTTCAGGAATGTACCCTGATTCTTGACGACGCAGGGGAGGACATGGTTCGGCACATTGCTGATTTTTTTCCAGCCTGTTTTCTTGTTGGGGAAGAAGAGGCTGATGTCACAGCCCAAGGCTTGACTCCAGCAGTGAGATAGTCGGTCATCACATGGAAATGTACGGTACTCGTATGGTGTTGACAACAAAGCAATACATTGACAGCAAATCAATAATCTCTAATCAAGATCCAAAGTACCATTTCTCTACTGCCTCCCTCAAACTCAAACCATCCGAAACAAACGTGTTCCAGGTTTCGTAGTTGATGATACCATGGTTAGGTGCGTATTGTAAAAAACTGCTGAACTTGGCCGATTTTAACGAGCCTGTAACCTGGTGTAGCAGCTGTGCGAATCCAATCACTGCCCGGGCCTCGGCAGATGTGCATTTCTTATTTGCATTCTTCGTCGCCAGTTCTTGAGCCGATGTAGTGTTCGCCTCAATTTGTTTCTTCAAATCTGGTATACTCATAACCTCGCTTATGCAGTTGAAGGCGTATGGTCGGTTGTTGGGGGGAAGCTGGTTACCGAGGATGAGTGCGTTGATGTCGAAGAGCGAGTTGACAATGAAGACTTGCGATTTGATGAACTTTGTCGCGTGCTCGGGAAAGAAACATTTCCACTTGCTCGTAGCATCTTGAGCTGCAAGTGCACATTCACAGCAGCACATCACATGTTCCGCACAGAGAATAGATAAGGAAAATATGAGGGATTTGGATGATGCACATGCATTCTGTGTTATCAGCAACAGAGGCATCCTGTAGCGACACTAGAAGAAAGTGCCACGTTGTTAGGCCACTGCCTGAACCCAAGTGGAGGAAAGGAAAAATAATCGCTTGGATGAGTGACAATTTAAATCTTCTTGTTCCAAACTATTCATTGGACCTCTCCTACCTCTGGCACATCTTGGGTTGCCAATAAAATCATGCAGTGCTGCCATCCGGATTATGGTCTTCTTGAATGCGTGCTTCTTCTTCCTGTCAAGCGCATCTGGCAAACAAACAAAGTAGCAGGAAAGGGATGATTCGAAGACGTGAGTTATTGGGTATTGGAGTTTTATGGAAGGAAAAGAGGTGGAAGGGTGATGCTTTGGAGGGAAGGAAAGGAGGTGGACGGAAAGAGAGAGAGGCGTGAGGGAAGGGGTTGGGTGGTGAGGAGGAGGGAAGAGGGAGGGGTTAGGGTTGAAGTTTGCGTGAATAGAGAAGATTCAAGTTTACACAAAAGAAGCCCATGAGGCGCTTGGTGGAAAGCAGGGAAGAGGGAAATCTTTGTCATTGCAAAAGAAGCCAGAGTCCTTGACCCACTTGGTGGTGGAAGGGAGGGCGGGGTTTGAATGAAAGAGGGAGAGATTGTTTTACTGAGGAAGAAGCCTGAGTCCATGAGGCACGTGGTGGTGGAAGAATGAAGGGGGGGGCGGGGAGGTGGGGGAAGTATGGGGAGGGTTATTTCACCGAGGAGGAAACCTGAGCCCATGAAGCAAGTGGTGGTGGAAGAGGGGAGAAAGCAGGGCGGGGAGAAAGCAGGGCGAGGAGAAAGCAGGGCGAGGAGAAAGCAGGGCGAGGAGAAAGCAGGGCGAGGAGAAAGCAGGGCGAGGAGAAAGCAGGGCGGGGAGAAAGCAGGGCGAGGAGAAAGCAGGGCGAGGAGAAAGCAGGGCGAGGAGAAAGCAGGGCGAGGAGAAAGCAGGGCGAGGAGAGTGGACTCACCAGGGAAGAAGCCCGATTCCATGAGGCACTTTGTGGTGTAAGAGAAGCCAGGGCTATCCATAAAAGTTGATATTCTCACCGAGGAAGAAGCCCGAGTCCATGAGGCACTTGGTGGTGGAAGAGAAGAGCAGAAAGACAGGGCAATGTAGGCTCACCGAGGAAGAAGCCCGAGTCCATGAGGCACTTGGTGGTTTTGGCGGAGGGCACGAGGGCGGGCAGCTGGTCGCACAGAGTCACCACCGCCTCTGCTCCCGCCGACACCCCCGACAGCAGCACCTGCGACGCCGTCTTCAGGCCGCCCCGGTCGGCCACATCTGCAAGGACATTCAGGAATGAGGATTAGTGTGTAGCGAACCTGGTGAGACACTGGTAGTGCTGCTCCTGCAGACACCCCCGACAGCAGCACCTGGGAGGCTGTTGTCAGGCCGCCTCGGTCGGTTACATCTACAGGGAAGCAACAGGAGGAATAGAGGGAAAAAAAAAGGAGACTCTGGTAGTGCTGCTCTTAGTGACACCCCGAAGGCGTGTTGGTCAGTCGCACCTGCTTAAACATCACGGAGTGGTATAGAGGAGCATAACCGAGGCTCAGGTAATGCTTCTCCTGTCGACACCCCTGAGAGAAGTGGCTTGGAGGCGGTGTGTTTTTCACTCAATTATATAAGTCTTGAAGAACATTTGTTTTTGATGCTGTGGATAAATTTGAGCTGCAAAGAAGGGCTGGGAATTTCGAAAGGCTTGCTGTTAGCGGGTGCTGACTGTCTGCGCTCCTCTTGTGAGATGAAACTTTTGCTGTATTTCAGATGTATATCTTGCACCTTCGGCGTCAAAAGGGACACACCGAAGCGGGTACAAAGCAAATCCTTGAACCCACCTGTGAGAACAGCTTTGATGTTGTTCCAACCCGAAAGGTACACTCCTTCGCTTCCGCTCACGTTCTTGAACCCCGCGCGGCCCGCGAATCCACCCCCGTCGCAGTACACTGGCATTACTAAGTTCCAGTTGTAAAACCGCGGGTTCACCGTCTTGTTCACACTTAAAATCCCGCGGTATCCCCACGAGGCCTGAAGGGAGAACGACGCGGGGTGCAGAGGCGTGGAGAGGGGTTGAACTCGAATTCTCAGGAGGGGAACAATTGCGAGTCGCCATCAGCTAGTGTGAAACACACGACTCGCCACCAGCAGGATCATGATTAGCTGCAGGGAGTTGAACGTCAGTCAACTCACGTGTTGCTCTGATCAGTAGCTTTCATGCCAACCCATATTCGTGCATTGTTAACAGCGAGACAGACGTGCGCGAGTTTCAAGGGAGGAACTTGACGAGTGAGGGGAAGTGGGAAAGGGGAGCGTGGAGAAGTGGAGAATGAATGAGAGGTAAGAATATTGGGAGCTTACGTTGGTGGGGGAAGGGGAGGAAGGAAGTTGAAGACGGCTTGCTGTCTAGTTTTATTAAGCCGTAGACGGCTCAAAAACCGTACGAGTCATAGCTCCAAGAATACAGTTACGACTGAGGATGCATCCACGTTTGTTAATGTATGTACACCCTCCCAAAAAAAAAAAAAAAAACACGTACAAGGAAGAAGGCTTGAGTTAAGGACGCCGTTTTTTTTCTACCTTTTGGGTCGACTCAATAGCCGTACCGTACTAGGAAAAAGGCATGATTTAAGAACGCTCGATTGCGCCTACCTTTCAGCGGACTCGGAAAATAGGCTACTAGGAAAGAGCGAGGAAGCTCATGTGGTAGAACGAGTCGGTTTCAGTTTCGGTTGCAGTTTCGGTCTCGTCGAGGCGCGGCGACTTTCAAATCAGCGGCTCGAGAGTCTCAGGGAGGTAGATCGGGAGCGCACGGGAATCGTAACTTAATGAGAATCGGGAGCCTACGGGAACCGGGAGCTGCGAATGGGGAGAGTAGGGCGTTTCGAAAGCTTACGTTGTTGAAAAGGTTGGTGGCTTGCAGTTCCGGCTTCGTCGAACCGGAGTTGACGTTCTCGGCGCGCCACTTGCAATCTTTGAGCGTCGTGCACCATCCGCCGAAGGGCAGAAAGACGTGCCACGAATCCTTGCCCCCGCCGGAGCCTGGCCGAAAGTAATAGCCTGGCGGGCTGAGGGTAGAAAGAATGGGGGTGAATAAGGGAGGGAAAGGAAAGAACGATGTGTTTAATCGAGCCGTGGAGGATCAACGTGGCGCGCCTCTTGCACTCGCTGGGCGTCGTGCAGCATCCGCCGAATGAGGGCGGACTGAGGATAATGAATCAAACAGGGGAAACGGAGAAGAAAGGGGTAAAGGAAGGGAGAGGAGGAGGAAGGGAAGAAACAATCGCGTTCTGTCAAACTTTAGCGATCGGCGTCGGCGCGCGCCACTGCGCATTTCGGGCGTCGACCACCAACCGCCGAAAATCCCTAAAATGTCCCATGCGTCGCTGCACCCGAGGAGCCTGGCCGAATATAGCACGCTGGCGGGCTGAGGGGAGGGAGTAACTTGTAGGCAATAGGAAAAAAATCTGGCTTGAACGCTTCAACGCGCCACTGGAATTCAACCTTTTGCGCGTCTTTCTTGCATCGTTCCACACCAGTCCTTGAGTCATGTGATGGAGGAGACAAGGTTAATGGATTTTTCCGTCGACTAAAAAAAAAGAAGGGATGTAACCTTTTGCGCGAGCATTCTGCATTGTTCCAGCACCATTCGCTGATTCAAGTAATGGGGACAGGGGTAATCTCTTACCTTCCGTCAAGACATTTTGCGCCGAAACGGTTTCTGGGCAGCAGAGTGAACGTCAGACCGGTCCCATCGGAGACGACGGGCGCTGACATCGGTTTCCCTACACTCCCCGCTGTGGTGTCGAGAAATGTCAGTAGCAAAACGCAAAGCGTCGCAGCGGCAGCGCGATTGAGAGAACGTATACTAAAGCTCGTCGTCATCATGTTGCTCACGGCAGCGAAAGGCTGCTTCTATGCTTCTATGTAGCGCGATGGGACGAATTAGGCGTCTCTATTTGACGAGCAACTGTGACTGGCCGCGTAGCTAACTGGCCGCGTAGCGAACAAGTACAATTACGGCATGTGAGTGTCTGTTGTGAATGATGGTATGTGTGTACTGCTTGTAAGAAACAATGCCGAGTGACGGCGTATGGGTGTCATCCAGGAGAGTTGTTGTATACAACCGACCGCGGCGGGCACATTAAACTCCCTGGTCGTGTGAGCCTGAAAGCGTGGCTGGCCACGATGGTGGTGAGCCCATGAGAAACGCTTGTGGGAGTGTTCTTCAGCCACCCAATCTTAGCTGTTCGTACGAGGTTTTTCCAGCGCAAGCTGTCGGTCTTTGTTCGGTCAAGGGAAAATCAGCCATATGACGCATGCATCACTCACTCGTGCAGGAGGGTCATTCTTGTGGCAGGACCACAAGCGTTTTTGGGGGAAGGAGCACAAATTTGGTTCTGGTCTGGTGGTAAGGAGGAATTTCGACGCACGAATTTCCACGGTTGTTGAGTTGACAGATCTCTCCGTCAAACCGCCTCCGGTAGCTGAGGAAAGCGAATCACGTGAGCGAAGTGCCCAGCCCTGGGTTCGTCGTTTTCCTGGCATGCCCCGCGTGAGGACACCGTAAGGGCGCTTCACCTCTCAGTTCGAACAGCACGCTCGTTCGAACAGGCGAAATGTTACTAACTTCGTCACTCATCGTTTGGGTAATCGCGACGTCGCAAGTAGGAAATTTCGCGAATCAGAACAGAGCTGTCACATGGGGCACGAAGCTCTTCATTTCGCGCGTTCGAACAGAGTAGTTCGAACAAGTTGGGCTCGGTGACAAGGATTCCGCACGGACGACTGATTTGATTGGTCAGCAGGCTTCGGGTCGCATACGAATGTTTGCGACCATTGCAAGTGTCGCCGGGCAGGAGAAAGTGCATCGAAAATGACATTGTTGCTGGGAAACAACAAGGTGAGCAGTAGTAAAAGAGCACGAAGAGACATTTTGACTGGATGGGCGACAAATGGGTCAAACTGGAATGGCAGACGACTGAATTTTTTTCTTGCGACGTTTCGCGACGTCGTCCAACACTTGGCGACATCGCATGTTCGAACAGGCTGTCACCTCTAGTCACGAGCTGTCACATCCACCAGGGTGTTCAAATTTGTGTTGGGATCTTGTCAGGAAACTGTTCGCACAGTGAATTCGTTACGTATGTTCGGATTTGGCCCTTCCAGCCCCGAGGTGATGCGCCCTAACCCTCGCACCATTACGGGGCCCTGGTTACGGAGCCTCGCGTGCCATTACGGACCGTTTTTCCTCGCGTGAAATTCTGGATCCATTGGATGCGGTTCGTGTCGGATCTGCATGCGCCACCAAAAAAGTCCAGTATATGAGACGGACAGCCACGATCCTTCATGAAAAAAATGTGAAATCTGACAACCAATTACAACTCACGAGGTCCTGACAAGAAATAAGCATTACTGTAAACCGTATGGTGGTGATAACATAGAAAATGTAAAATCTGGCTTGACCAAAACTTTGGTTGCAAACTTTAGCAGAACATGTAGCTTGCTACTAGATGTTTGAAAACAGGTAGTGTTACGAGTGCAATTGGGTGATCGAACGAAAATTGCACTATCGAAGCAAGAATACCGTACAATGAGCGAAGGCATGGGCGAAGAATATATAGCGAAGCTACAGTGGTAACGGTAATGGACTGTGGTTGTCGCGCGATGGGCCTGGGACTGAGGTTTGGAGAAATGTCGAAGCGGAGGCCCGGAGCGCGGGTTACCAGCCGAGCCGTGAGGTCGGGGTGCGACGTGCGAATGTGGCGGGAGGATTGTCGATGCGAGGGTTGCGAGTGGTAACGGTGCTGACTGAGGTGCTACAGTGGTGTACGCGCTGAGCAGGGACGCGAAGTAAGGAAAGGGAATATTCCTTACACTACCCCCCCCCCCCCCCCCTAAGGAGGTCCTCCTTACGAAAGCGCGTGTACATCCCGGAAGTTTCGGCTGCGCAGATACTCTGTGAGGACGGAGTGGTTTTTGACTCTGTCCAGGGGAACCCAGTTGTCTTCGGTGGGTGTACGGTCTTTCCAGCGGATCAGGAACTCGATCCTTCGGGCTCCTCGAGGGTCGCAAACTCTGTGGCTTAGAATTTTCTCGGGTGTGATGATTGGTTCAGTCGGCGGTCGTATCATACTGGCTGGGCGGTTACGTGGCAGTTGGCTTGTGGACGGGACGTAAGGGCGAAGCAGACTGACGTGGAATGAGGGGCTGACGTACCAGTCAGCGGGGAGGAGGAGGTGGGCGGTGACGGGCGTAATCATGTGGCTTATGCGAAATGTGTCAGAATCCCAGCCACTAACCACTGGGATAAAAGGGCTTGTTTGTGTAGCGGGTGAGTGCGCCCATAACCCCCCAGGCCGCCATGCCTGTAACCCTTCCCTAGGATCAATCGGGGATCACCAGTGGACCTCTGACACCCCCCCGCACTGGGATGCCCGAGGTGCACACACCGGGATTCGAACCCGAGACCTTCGCTCTGATAACATGTCAGAATCCCAGCCACTAACCACTGGGATAAAAGGGCTTGTTTGTGTAGCGGGTGAGTGCGCCCATAACCCCCCAGGCCGCCATGCCTGTAACCCTTCCCTAGGATCAATCGGGGATCACCAGTGGACCTCTGACAAAATGGCCCGCAATATCGGGGGCGGAGTTTTGGGGTGATCGGCAGGCGGAGGTTCTGAGTATCGAGTAAAACTAGGTCGTCAGGTTGGTAAGTGACAGGGCGGCGGTGGCGGTCGGCGTTACGTTTAGCGATGATGTTCGATTTTTTTATTGCGTCCGCTGCCCGGATCCGTGCTGCTTGTAAAATTTCGGCGAACTATTGTGCTCGTGGCACCGGGTTGTCGGGATTCGGGGTCATGGGTACTGTGGGGTCTTGTCCGTAGTTCAGGTAAAACGGTGACTGTTGGGTCGTGGCGGATGGTGAGTTATTGTATGCGAACTCAATGAGTGGC